CCCCTACTGATGTTCAATATAAGGTGACCCCTGGTCCCCCTACTGATATACAATATAAGGTCTCCTCTGGTTCCCTACTGATGTTCAATATAAGGTTCCTCTGGTCCCCTACTGATGTACAAAGTAAGGTGACCCCTGTTCCCCCTACTAATGTACAATGTAAGGTGACCCCTGGTCCCCCTACTGATGTACAATATAAGGTGTCCTCTGGTCCCCTTCTGATGTTCAGTATAAGATGACCTCTGGTCACTGTCACGACACCCTAAGCTTGATCAGTGATAACAAAACTATTTTCTATTTACAATTTTATATAAAAACAAATATGTACAAATATACAAAATGAAATTAATGAATTTCAAAATGTCTATCAGTGTCCATCCTGAGACCACGTTCCTATATCCGTCCCCGCCTCCTGTGTTTAACGGTCCATGACCTACGGGTACCACGCCCTTACACCAAATGCCACCACATCCTCGACGTCCCGCGCCTATCCCACGCGTCTTAAGCGTCTGCAATGCTGCCAAATCCGGGAAACCACGTTTCCTCTCTCACGGTCTCGGCCCAGCGTACCACGCCCTTAGGTTGCCTCCGCCGACAGCACCAAATCATACTAACGTACATGTATCAATAGGGACCTTCAACAAATATGCGTAGACATAATAAGCTTGACCCCGAACGGGCTGCCTTACAACATAACATAAATTGTTTACACATATACTTGTTTAAACATACAGTTTTAACTAACATGTATCACACCGCTTCGCAAAGCAAAATATTAATACAATGTAACGTTACGCTTTGAGTAATAAACTAAAATCATTACTTTACGCTTAAACTCACGGCATGTGCACGTGGTAAAATTCCCGTATACAATTCAAACACTTTCTCGTGGATAAAAATAGAATAAGCTCAATTAACATAATACTGCATTACTTTTTGATATAATAAATGTAAGTAAATTACACTTACCCTGATTGGAGATTCAGTTACCACGAAAAACTACCTAACCCTCCATGGACATGTGAAACTACTTTCACTGGTCAAGGAAAACGTGCGCTACCCAAGACAAACCTGACATCACCTTATATAGCGACTGGCCAAATATTTAAATCACCTGAGCGTCACAATGGGGCTCCTTGCAGGATAAACACTAAATACAAATAAGGGTCAACACAGGGCAATAAAAGAATAAAAGAAAAACAAATTAAACATGTAACAAAATCAACTTTGATTGTGACATCACCTCCCCAATTCAAGAAAGTTCACTGAACTTGTGCAAAACTCACAATCAACAAAAAAAACATATGTACAAAACCACAATGTTCATAATGTCTCACTCATATCCTACAACCTACTTAGACAATTAGCACCAACGTTCTCTGATCCTTTAATCGCCACAATATGGAACTTATAAAGTTACAAAAGTAAGAACGATCATTCTTTGTCACATTCACAATAGGTAAACTATATGGACTGTCCGAATTTTCAATCAATCCCGACTTTATCATGTTTCTTACTTCCTCGCACACTTCATCACGAGTTGTAAAAGGTAAAGGGTATGGTTTGGATCGCACAGGCTTGTCACTCGTCAACTTTATATGGTGCTCATCCAATGTCGTACATCCTGGAATATCTGATAACACATCACTATACTCTTCAAGTAACGATTTCACTTGTTCATGTTCACTTATTGTCAGTTCATCACTTACTGTGACATCACTGGGTTTCTCCTTCGAAGTAGGTAGTGTTGAATCTATCAGATCACTGTCGTCAACTGAATCGTCTTCTTCAACATCCACCATAGCTGCACTAGCGACACCTAAGATACCAGCATCAACACAACATTCTTTCCTGTCAAAATATAACTTGAGCATATTTGCATGGAATGTCTTAATTTTGCCGTTCATGTCTATTCTATAATCAACTTTCCCCAATTTCTTCACTATCTCAAAAGGACCTTTCCATTGCATTAACAATTTGTTGCTATCTGTTGGTAAAAGTACAAGCACCTTCTCACCTACTGACATGTCTCTGTTTTTAGCCTTCTTGTTGTAGTGTGCTCGGTAACGTTCGGATGACTTCTCTAAATTCTCTCTGGCCAACTGACAAGTAGACTCTAGGCGTTCTCTTAGATCAACAACATATTGATAAGTACTTCTCACCTCAGAATCCGTCTCTTCTTTTGTCCAAAGCTCTCGTAGGATTCTCATCGGAACCCTGACTCTGTGTCCGTATACCAATTCGAATGGCGAAAATTCCAAGCTCTCCTGTGGGGCATCTTGATACGCAAAAAGTGCTGCTGACAGGTACTTGTCCCAGTCTTTCGGCCGCTCTGAACACAGTCGTCGAAGAATCTGCTTCAGGTTACCATTAAATCTCTCAACCAAGCCGTTACACATCGGGTGATAGGGTGTCGTGGATAACTGTTTCATCGAAAGTAAACGACTTACTTCACCCATCAACTCTGAAGTAAACTGTGTCCCCATGTCTGTCAGCATCTCTTTCGGAACTCCGATTCTGCAAAATATATCTACTAATGCCTCAGCTACTCTTTCAGTTTCTATACCTTTGAGTGCAACCGCTTCTGGATAGCGTGTTGAAAAGTCAACTAAAGTTAAAATATAACGATTACCGTTATCAGTCATTGGCTGTATTGGTCCTACCAGATCAACTGCTACGCGTTTGAATGGCTCATCTATGATCGGCATAACACTCATTGGAACTTTAGTTGTCCTACCTTTAGGAGTAGTCCTCTGACATATGTCGCACGATCGACAAAACCGTCTTGCGTCAGCCTGGACTCCTGGCCAATAAAACTCAGCTAGCACTTTATCAATTGTCCTGGATGTAGCTAAATGACCTGCCATTAAAGACTCATGTGCAAGTGATAAAACTTTCATTCTGTACTTCTTAGGAACAACTAGTTGAGTAAACTGCTTATCATTCTCGACTTTCTCTGACTGGAAAACTCGAAACAGCATACCTTTCTTCAAAATGTACTTTACTCTGTTGCCGTTGGTTTCCTTTCCAACCAAAGTTCTAAGATTCTGCAGCGTCTCGTCTTCTTCCTGTGCTTTTAACATATCCTCTGGACAAACTTCAGATCCTATTATATCTGGAACAGAAAGAGGTTTTATCTTCTTACCTTCCATGCGTTTCTGTTGTCTAGTCACTACAGCATTCACAACACGAGGCTTCCAGTCCTTGTTCGGATCGTGAGGATCTCTAGCATGCGGAATGTTTCCGATAATCAAAGGATATAATGGAGCATGTAGGCTCCACGCATTCACTTCTCCTACGAAATACGGAGTGTCAACATTCACCTTTGCGATAGGGGTTTCAATTTTGGATCCGTCCGCCAAAAGACACACTTGATGGTCTCCAGTAAGTTGATCATCATGGACAAGACTCCTACGCACTATTACACCATTGCATCCCGTGTCTCTAAGTACTTGAACAGACTGATCATTAATTTCACCAACACAAACAGGCATCTGATCTGAGAAATTAGCTACACTGCAAGCTGATGTAGTTAATAAGTCTGACGAATTTGCCATTGAAAATGTTGAAGTTGATGTTATAGATGTAAAAGCAGAGCACTTGCCTGAATCTCTGTGTTCCTTCAAACTGCTTCCTGACTCACTTGAAGCATCCGCTTTCACCGCAAAGCTTTGATTCTTACTTGATGACTGATTACACTGCGAGGCTATATGTCCTAGCCTGGAATATTTGTAGCATCGAATATCCTTCCCTGTCTTCTTCTGTTGTGAAAAGGACTGACCATTAGTCTTCGGCGGCACTTGCTCCTTCTGGCTGGATTTCTGTTTTCAAATGTCGTCTCCTTTTTGCTAGAAGAAACTAAAGTTAATATGTTAACATGACGCGCCTCTTTGAACTGATCCGCTAACATACACATCTCTTCAATACTTTTTGGAATATGCTCCTTTAGGAACAACGATAAGTCTCTATTACAGATTGATATGAACTGATCTCGCAACACTAAGTCATATAGTCCGTTGTAAGTTTTGTTAACTTTTCCAAACTCAATCCATCTATCTAGATAACTTCCTAAACGAACTGCGAATTGTGTAAAGGTTTCACCTACCTCTGGTCTACACCTACGGAAATATTCTCGAAAACCGTCCTCTGTTTTCTCAAACCTCCTCAGCAAAGCTGTTTTAAGGGTTGCATAATCCAGAGCCTTTTCTTGTGGAAGTAGGGCATAGACATCAAGAGCTCGTCCTTTAAGTAATGCGCTTAAGTTCACGGCCCACATTCCTTCGTTCCACTTCTGTGCTATAGCGTATCTTTCGAATCGTCTAAGAAAAGAGTCTATGTCATCTTTAACCTCATCAAAGTATGGCATTTTAGGAACCTTTGCTAATGAACCATCAGATATGTCTGACTTAGCAGCTTTAGATTCTGTCTCTTTCAAACTCAACTGGTATTTAAGTTCTTGTACATTAGCTTGGTACTTACTTTCGAGTGCATCTAGAGATTTCTTTTCTTCTAGACGGAGCTTCTCTACTTCCAAAGCTTCTCTCTTCAACTCATAGTCTCTGTCCTCCTTTTGTCTCTCTCTTTGCTCAACTCTGAGTTCTCGCAGATGTGCCTGTTGTTCACGGATGAACCTCTGAAGATCCGCTCCCGTCAACTCCAAACTTTGACCATATGCAGTCAGCTCTTTTAACAAATCCATCTCAAAAATCGCCAGTAAATAAACCAACTATCAAACAACATAAACTGACACAAAAATGACAAAGCAAAATATCCCTCCAGGAAAACTGAACTAAATCGAAATCAAACCTTCATAATACAAACTAATTCATGGTAACGTCCTCTCCTCTCAGGGTCCCTTAACTTCTATCTGAACGTCTCTCTACAACAATACAATAAAAAAAAAATATTATAACTTCAATACATGAAAATACTACAATATTTTTCCAACGTTCAATCCAATTTACTCAAAAAACATTCTTTTAAAAAAAACAATCACTGATCAAAGCTAACATCATCATCCCACTTCTGACACCATTGTCACGACACCCTAAGCTTGATCATTGATAACAAAACTATTTTCTATTTACAATTTTATATAAAAACAAATATACAAAATGAAATTAATGAATTTCAAAATGTCTATCAGTGTCCATCCTGAGACCAAGTTCCTATATCCGTCCCCGCCTCCTGTGTTTAACGGTCCATGACCTACGGGTACCACGCCCTTACACCAAATGCCACCACGTCCTCGACGTCCCGCGCCTATCCCACGCGTCTTAAGCGTCTGCAATGCTGCCAAATCCGGGAAACCACGTTTCCTCTCTCACGGTCTCGGCCCAGCGTACCACGCCCTTAGGTTGCCTCCGCCGACAGCACCAAATCATACTAACGTACATGTATCAATAGGGACCTTCAACAAATATGCGTAGACATAATAAGCTTGACCCCGAACGGGCTGCCTTACAACATAACATAAATTGTTTACACATATACTTGTTTAAACATACAGTTTTAACTAACATGTATCACACCGCTTCGCAAAGCAAAATAATAATACAATGTAACGTTAAGGTCAAGATCTAGTAAATAACTTGAGACTACTTTTTTGGTGCTAGATCCATTATGACGTCATAATCATTTTCAACTTTCTTTTTCCCGTACTTTACGGCTTTAGCAGAATTATGTAGAAAATAGGGTATTTTTATGACATTCATTTTGAAATCATATGAAAAGTAAACCGGATACCTATATTAAATTTGATATTTATTTTAAGAGGAGGCCATGAACATACTAATTACCGTTTTCTGAGAGACTGTAGGCAATCTGGATACATTTCCTTTGTCGAATATGAGAAAAACTCCCATATTCGTGCCTGGTTTTCTTAATTTTTCATTCCAAATGACAGTTTAAAATACAGTTTTTCATCTTGTTTACCTACAAATTATGCCCCGAAACACCTTATTTGACTAAGCTAAAGTTGTAAAGCATAAATAAATGAATTTATTTCTCAAGTTTGATAAATCTGTAGGCACCTTTCATTTACTAGATCTTGACCTTAAGGCCGGTTTACACGGTAATACAAGTTGTATACAACTTGTCGTATACAACTTTTGTAATATGTTACCTACCTGTTCACACGGTAAAACAGGTTTATGTTCAATTCTTTGTTATGCAAACAAATAAAACGCCCTAATCAGGTTCGAATCAATCGACATAGAAGCATGGGAAGAGGAGAAATCTGTTATATATTATACTGTATATTTTAATTTGTATCATCGTCATCATCATCATTAAATTGGAAATCCAAGCCAATCTCGCATACGCTCATCAAGTAATGATAATTTGATTTATCTCTAATATCATATCGTAAATAAACGTTTCACTGCGTAATGATGTAAAAGTTTTAAAAACTACGGATCATACTACTTTTAATTTCAAAATGTAAGTTGTCATACTAAAAAAAAATACTGTTTGTTAAAAAAACAAAACAATGATCAATGAATAGTGACTTTCATATTACTTCGAAACAAACAGAAATATATTTGTCCATGGAATTTCAGACAGATTCATTTTAATATTTGCGCACAACTACATGTATAATTTACACTTATAGTATACATGTAATACATGTAATATAAATACCAGAGAAAAAAGACTGGACCGAGGAGGTTTGATACTTTATCCAGTTATATATTTCCTTTTTTGATAAACATGAACATTGTAATAATAAATTTTCCATGCAAATACCACACTAAAGTATGAATTTGATTAATAATTAATTTACTTTCTGTATAAATAAAGGTATAGTACATGTAATGTACAACACGCCACTAGAATATTCCTATTATTCTTTCTTTTTTATTTCTCCAAGTAAAGATTACCGTGCTTAATTCCATGCGTGGACAATTCTAGATGAATTTTTTTTATACATGTGCGTTATAACCCCCCCCCCCCCCCCCCCCGTTTTGGGAGACAATAAAATTATTTCTGTGCTTGCAGGCTATTTTCCTGTGTTTATTGATTAAAATGAACACCGTCATTACATTTACGATCATTTTACCGTAAAATAATTCTGTGAGATAAAATAATTTTGTTTGAGACTGGTAGGCCCTTTACACCAATCTGAAAATTTTTGAGAATTCTCAGATTTTTTTCCTCGTCTGAGTCGGAAAAAACGTTTGTAGCAAAATCCCAGACTTGAAAAAAAAAATCTCAGATTTGAGAAAAAAAAACTCAAAAGACTTGTTTGAGTTTGAGAAAATGTATACCGTCATGTAATGCAATATATTAAACACTTTGGGAGAAATTTAATTGAAAGTGTATTACGAAATTCTTGCACAAATTACAGATTTACTCCATGCATAACAGATTTATTTTCAAAGAAAGATTTGTGAAAATAGTTTGATATTTCGAAGATCTGAATTGTGACCAATGCATTTTGAACATTAAATTGTAGATATTTCTGTCCCCTAATGCAATATAATGAATTTCAAAATTCCTTTATTCATGTAGCAACATACTCTTTAGATAGTCATATCACATGCATATATTATAAAATCATGTATTAAATTTTCTAAAAATGTTTTTAAAAAGAATGATACATTGCATCCAATGAAGTGGTCAGTGAAGCATAAATAGATTACACAAATCCCAGTCCACTGATTGGCCAGAGGAAAAAGTCTCATACAACTTGCTGTACAGAATAGAGACAAGTTCTATCCGAACGCGTGGAATATACGACTTCGGGGAGGTTTAAATTCCGTGTAATAGCGCCGTACACACAGTAACATTTTGCTGTATACAGCAAGGTCTATACAGCTTGCTTTACCGTGTAAACCGGCCTTTACACTTTGAGTAATAAACTAAAATCATTACTTTACGCTTAGAACATAACCTACTTATTCAGCCAATCAAATGCTTCCATTTCTCTCAAAGAATTGATTCTTCATAGTGAAGAATTCTTCTATTTCTGAAAAATTCAACAGTGTCTGATTGGTTCACTTGACAGTTATATGGGTGTGTCTTCATTGGTCTTTGTTCAGCACACAAAAAGAAACTATTCAAAACCCACGTGCTGTTTACAATCATGTTATTTAAACTTTCTAGGCCTTGCTACATTTTTTCCCACTGTCATCTTTTGTCGCCTTTTGAATATTATTTTTTTCACATTTCGGTACATAAAGAAAATACAACCATCGTCATGAATATCAGAGACGAAACTTGTCTTTGAAGATAGATTTAATCACAATTTTCATCAAGTTTTTATTTGATATTAGACGGCCATACCCACTTCTGCTGACTAGTGCCTTGACATCTTAACACAATCATTTTTCAAAAATGTAGATATTACGATTCTTGTTACATAGATATTCATAGGCGTCGGAAACGGGGGGATCTTAGCCCCCACTTTTTTGCAAACATATACATGATATAGGCATTAAAAATGAGGGGTTTGCCTTTTTTTGTTGGTTTAGCCCCCCCCCCCCCCCCCCCCCCCCCCACATACACTTTCAATTTGCTTCCGATGCGTATGGTATTCATTAGTTCAGTAACTTTAATATCTTCACCATACCATTTCCCCAGTAAATCAAGGTATTTCATATAATCCCGTGCTAACTTGAATGGGTTTGGGAGTCCATTCTGAAACCGCGTGTGTTCGATATTGATTACGTGCTCGATATGTACAACGAGCGGTCAAGTTGAGCCTTATATATGACACAGCCGTGGGAGGAGTAACTAGTTTATTTTTAATCCATTCATTTGATTGGCTGAGGTTCTGTTCTAAGTCAGTAAGATCATATGAAGAGAAATCTTCGTCACGAAGAATGGGCTCCGCTTCGCTCCGCCCATTCTTCATGACGAAGATTTCTCTTCATATGATCTTACTATTACTTAAACTCACGGCATGTGCACGTGGTAAAATTCCCGTATACAATTCAAACACTTTCTCGTGGATAAAAATAGAATAAGCTCAATTAACATAATACTGCATTACTTTTTGATATAATAAATGTAAGTAAATTACACTTACCCTGATTGGAGATTCAGTTACCACGAAAAACTACCTAACCCTCCATGGACATGTGAAACTACTTTCACTGGTCAAGGAAAACGTGCGCTACCCAAGACAAACCTGACATCACCTTATATAGCGACTGGCCAAATATTTAAATCACCTGAGCTTCACAATGGGGCTCCTTGCAGGATAAACACTAAATACAAATAAGGGTCAACACAGGGCAATAAAAGAATAAAAGAAAAACAAATTAAACATGTAACAAAATCAACTTTGATTGTGACAGTCACCCTCTTATGTACAATATAAGGTTACCTCTGGTCCCCCTACTGATGTACATTATAAGGTGTCCTCTTGTCCCCCTACTGGTGTACAATAATAGGTGACCTCTGGTCCCCCTACTGATGTACAATATTAGGTGTCCTCTGGTCCCCTACTGATGTACAATATAAGGTGACCTCTGGTCCCCCTACTGATGTACAATATAAGGTGACCCCTGGTCCCCTTACTGATGAACAACGTAGGGTGACCTCTGGTCCCCCTACTGATGTACAATATAAGGTGACCCTTGGTCCCCCTACTGATGTTCAATATAAGGTGACCCCTGGTCCCCCTACTGATATACAATATAAGGTCTCCTCTGGTTCCCTACTGATGTTCAATATAAGGTTCCTCTGGTCCCCTACTGATGTACAAAGTAAGGTGACCCCTGGTCCCCCTACTGATGTACAATATAAGGTGTCCTCTGGTCCCCTTCTGATGTTCAATATAAGATGACCTCTGGTCACCCTACTTATGTACAATATAAGGTTACCTCTGGTCCCCCTACTGATGTACATTATAAGGTGTCCTCTTGTCCCCCTACTGGTGTACAATAATAGGTGACCTCTTGTCCCCCTACTGATGTACAATATTAGGTGTCCTCTAGTCCCCCTTCTGATGATCAATATAAGGTGACCTCTTGTCCCCCTACTAATGTACAATATAAGGTGACCCCTGTCCCTCTACTGATGTACAATATAAGGTGACCCCTGGTCCCTCTACTGATGTACAATATAAGGTGACCCCTGGTCCCTCTACTGATGTA